ACTTAAAATATACTAAAATAAAAAGATGAATTGATTTTACTTACTTTTAGTAATAATATTCTTCTGATGGGAAATTTGTTTAGCGTGACCTTTTTTTAATTTCATTTTTGGTGTCTTCTCTGTCATGTTAGGCTGGATTCTCTAGAGAATGAAAACAAGTGACATTTATATGAATATGTATATAAAAATAGATCTATATGAAGAAATGGCTCACACAGTTGTGGAAGTGGTTAAGTCCATGCTTCAAGTCCATGGGTCAGATGGTTAAGTGGGAGGCTTCTCCTAACTTGTGTAGCTGATGAACCAGGAAGCAGTACGATGAGGCAGAAAGGTTGTGGATGCAGTTGGATGAATCTAAGAGCAGCAGTCAGCTGATTGCTCCCAAGATAGACAGGCAATAGACAGGCAATGTGACAGGAAATCAAGGAAACAACTGTAAAATCCATATCCAGCAAAAGTGAAGTTTTCCCATGGAGAGTGTATACAAAGGGGAAAACACCCCCCACCATTGTAGCAAGACTGTGACCTAATAAAGAGGGCTGCATTCCACCACAGCAGGTAGCTGTTCACAGAGTTGATTATGTTACGATATATCTCATTATGGGAATTGTTGACAATTCCTGAGGACCTGGGACTAGCCACGTTGACACAAAACATTATTATCACAATGATAGAAGTCCTAGTGGTGTAGTGAGTTACATGTTGGACTGCTACCCTCAAAGTTGTTGCTTCAAACCCACCTGGTGCTCCTTGGGAGAAAGATGAAGATACTCCAATACAGATAAACGGGCTCCAATAAAGGTTTCTATTCTTAGAAACCCAACTTGACAGTTCTATTCTGTCCATATACTGAAGAGATGCTTCAATTGCAGTGAGTTTGGTTTTAGGTTTTGGTTCAAATGACATAAGACATTTTAATAGTTTGATATAATTATTTCTGCCCATAATTCAGCCAACAACAGTGTTGCCCACAAAATCTGGAATTGAGTGGTGATGCACTGTTCCATGTGCCACAAACAAGATCTTTCTCTAGTTTTTGTTACAATGTTCATGTTTTGGCTATGGCTACTGATTTTGTATTCATACTATACATATTTTCCCTCTGCATGAAACTCCACTTTTACAGTCTTTTCTACAGTCTACTGACCTCAGCAGATATTGCCGAGAATGAGGCAACTTCTTTTCCATTCAAACCCCAAATTTTCTGTTTTCTGTGTTAGCTGGATCATTTGAACTAACTCTGGACTTTTTAAAAGCAGTGCTGGAGGACACCTATTTTCTCATTCTTGTAATCTAGGAATTTGCCAAGAATATTTCCCCTAGGCAAAGGATTCAATCTTCAGACTCCATCA